GGCGGCATCCACTTCCACTACCTTCCCGTCGCTGTTGAAGACTGGTTTCGGGTTGATTACGGGCACGCCTCCACTGCTGCCTCCGGCAGGGGCTACAACGTTAACGTTCCCCTCTTGCTGCTCGTTGCTCACGGGCGTGCCTTCGGTTGTGTCGCCCTCGCCATCGACTACCCCGCCACCCACGTTTGTGTTTGTGTCTGGGGTCGCAGAAGAGTTGCCGGGGTCCGCACCACTCATGTTCCCTCCCGAGGTTCTACGGAGATGTGTCTGTGTACGCTGGGACCAGTGCTGTTTGTGGCTGTCTGTGGTATGTGGTGTCTGTGTGTGTGTGCAGACACCTTCCCCCTTGCTTCGCGGACGTGACGTCACACGAGGTACTGCACAGGGGCTGCGGGTATTGTTCCGGGTACACACATTCTGTAGGGTACGGGGGATGATACAAACTACACAGAACTATTCTGTAGGGTACGGGGATGATACAGAACGCACAGAATAATCCTGTAGGGTACGGGGATGATACAGAACTCTCTGTGCCTCTCTGTAGGGTAATAACAGAGGGTAATTACCCCCGGTATAGGTCTGTGAGTACCCTACAGAACCCGCCCTTGCAAATATTGAGTGTGACCGATCAATTTCGCGTGGTGCCTAATCTTGTGGTTGTATCAAGTGCACCACACTCTACTGGGGAAATAATAGCCAAGGAACGGCACCAGACGGTGAGGTTCAGTACCCTTCGCAGGGAATTCGATTAACTAAACATGTTGGATAACGTATGCAATCGGGGAAGTTGGGTTAGGGTTAGGGATAAGGTCTGCGTACCGCCTCCCTGTTCTATTTCCTCATTGTACCCCCTCCCTGTTCTATTTCCTCATTGTACCCCCTCCCTGTTCTATTCACTCATCCCCCCTCCCTGTTCTATTTCCTCATTGTCCCCCCTCCCTGTTCTATTTACTCATCCCCCTTCCCTGTTCTATTTCCTCGCAAACTCCATTTCTCCCGAACGAGGTGCTCGAGTTTTGGTGAGATAGTGGTCGGAGCAAACGGTACATCAAGTGCGGTGAGCGCCGATTTAAGTGAGGACGAAGGCGAGCGAGGGTAGGGATACAAACTACCCATTGGTCTAAGCGAGACGTCAGGAGAAGGACAGGAAGCCGAACCCATAAGAAGAGAGAGAAAAAATTCGGCCACTGACGGGGGCGCGGATGAGGATAAGACCGTAACAATCACCTCGGAAGTGTAGTTGCACCGGTGGACAATAGCCCCGAGCTCGTCCTCGGCTTCGGCCCACGCCACCAGCATCCGCCTGACCAGGCACAAACACGCGAGAAATGTAGTCCTGTCATCATGCGAGTGCTGCTCGTGGAAGGACAACAACTGCACAGGGGGTGCGATGGGTCCCGCAAGCCACTTTCGAGCGGCGATTATCACACGGTGCGGTTAGAGGCGGAGACATGGCACCCCTCTTAGACCGATTTTCAAAGCTCGATTGCTCCCCAACCAACCTAATACCAAAACCACAGAACGGTGGCCGTACAATCATCTCGTCGAGGGGGTGCAGACGCATGAGCTCGTTCCGCACCCACATGGTTGGGGAGCAATCGAGCTTTGACAATCGGTCTGGACGGGGTCCCATGTTTCCGTCTCGTGCGGCACCGACCTTCTTCGGGAGAAGCAAGCGCTAACAGGTGGGCGGCGACTAGTAGGGTCGAATATGATGCACAACCGTTCGGCTTCACAAATACCTACTAGTTTCCAATTCCGACTTTGGAGATTTCCAGATTTGTTTCAACACCCCGTTTTCGTCCCCCGGTGCCGAATCAGCAACATACCCCGCACCTCAGGGTCGAACCGGCACATTTGAACACGTGCAGGAACATGACCGTGCTTTCCTCCAAGGCCGGGAAAACTCCTCCGTCCGAGGCAGGGGCCGCCGCCAGCGCTCCATCCTGCTGCCAGCTCAACCCCTGCAGCGCCCGGCTTCGCCGTTGCTGGGAAGGCATGGACGAGGGTCCCCTAGCGGGTCCGCCGTCCACAGCGCCACCGCGAGCGATATGTCTATCGTCGCTGCGGCGCACCACCTGTCGTCGAGGGTCCCCGTAGACTCGGAGGGCATTGCTATCGCCGGGAAATTCTGCAAGGATGGTCGTGTATCGTCCTCCTTGTCTCAGGAGGAGAAACACCGATGCCACGAGGCCGAGTGCTAAAGCCGCCGCCGCCGTCTTAGTAGCCGCCATTTCCCGTAGCCGCTGGTAGAAGCGGTAGGTGGGGTGACATCAACAGGTGGCGCAACGGTTCGCGGTGATGGTGACAATCAGAATGTGTGTGTGACGTGGATTTCGTTCGCGCTTCGGAAGAAAATATCATCATCAGAGAGTAGACTATTCACTTAAATTACACTTCTTTTACTGCTATTTTACAATGCTGTGCACTTGTGATTTGTTTTATAGTCCCATCCGTTCCGGGCGCCAGTTGCACCTTTCGGTGAATGGTTGACGCTCCAGCCGGAATCACACTGGACAAGGCAATAAATACATGTGCATTGGAGGCCCCTGTTTTTGTGCCGGTACGTGCCCAGAGCATTCACCTGACAATGACATTGAAAATATTATTTACGTTATGCAATAGGCACATCGGTCGCCCCGGCAGTCTTGCTGGTATCCTCGAAACCCAAAATATTCTACCGTGATTAGGCTCAGGGCTTCGAATACGGCGTAAACGAGCTTTTCTCTCGCTTCCTCTCCTGGCCTGGGTGGAAAGTGCTGCATGCATAGTTCGTGTGTACACAGAGGTAAGAGAGTGCTGCACTCTTCTCGCATTTAAAAATAGAAGACAAGGTACCGCACGAGGGGTTGGTAGGGGGAAACCCTTCTGTGTGACCACGGGTTGGAGAAAATGGCACAAGTGCTGTGAGCACTGAGTCGAAGTGAAAAAAAACATGTACCAGTACGTACATTGTCCCATCTATTCCGGGCGCCAGTTACACCTTACGGTTCATGGTTGACGCACCAGCCGAAATCACGCTGGACATGGCAATAAATGCCCTAAGAAGAGAGTTTAGCAGTCCTTGCGTCAGGTTTTTCTTGCTCACGACTACTGTATGTATGCAACGATTATTTCAGTACAGACGTATTCAACGTAGACGGCCCCAACTGAACCAAAGGGGCGACATGCAACAAACCATAGTTTGCCTCAATATGTTTGCTCAGAGGTACCAAATGTTGACGACAGACACTGAAACCTCCTGTAGAAGACGTTCTGACAATAATTCAGTGTATCGGCCTATGTACAGTCTCAAGCTCCGAACCCAGCAGGTTTTCCCCCCCACGTACTGGTAGGACTTCAACACGCCCCCTTACTACTGCTGTGGTAATATTTTTATTAGTAAAAATAAATACACACAAACAAAGACAGACTACCCGTTCGAGACATAACCACAGCAGTAGAAGACATTCATCCGTATTTCTGTATTTTGTATGCACCGTCTAGTCTACAACAGCTACAGCAGTAGTCTAGTGTGTAGAAGAAAAAAAATGACGTTAATGAGAATGCCACATCAAGAAGTAGGATGTTGCGAATAGTCTCTAGTCTAGACTACGTCTCTTGAGTGCGTTGTTTAGCTGCGGCATCCCATTCTAGGCACTATCCTCTCGTGGTGGCCGTTAGGGTGCCAAGGGCGAACCGCAGCATTGGTAGTAGGTGATCGTTAGAGTTTCGCGGGCGAACTGCAGTTTTTGTGGTGGTTAGACGTATCGCAGTATTGTGGTCGTTAGGGGATCGCGGGCTAACCGCAGTACAGTAGAAGACAGGGATCCAAGATAAACGATCTCGTAAGAATCCAAGACACCATGGGGGCAACCGGATGATATGCCCTGCCGGGACTGCTGTGCAGTGGGGCTCGGCGTCTGCCTCATCGTGTGTACACTGACCAAGACAGTGTCGTCCGGAACATCCACAATGCATCAAACCACAGGCCTACATAACCGCAGGAGGGGGTCCAACCCCCCCCTCCCATGTGACCCCGGTTGGGTCGTCTAGCTGGTAGAAGTGGAGGATAGGGGCCAGAGGGGCAGACGGCAGAGTCCAATGATGGGAGAAAAAATATATATATATATATATATATAAACAGTACTGGGCCCTCTATAGTGCAGGGGTGTGTCCAGAAATTTTACCTGCACTATAGCATGCACCTGCACTATTCAGAATAGTGCGTCAATAGTGCAGGTTCGGCGCTATTGAGGCTTTGAGTATATTATACCTCAATAGTGCAGGTCCGGCACTATTGAGGAGATGCTTGATTTCATGATGCAGCGCTCATGCGTCGCGGGGCTAACAGAACACGAAATGGATCGAATTACAGTAGTGCTGGGCCCTGTTCTAGCGTGGGTGTGGGCAGGCTGTCCCGCGACCCGTGTGGTTCCCCCCTGTCGCACACACCGAGATGTAGAAAAATTACGTGAATGTTGAATCGTTACTTTCTTCCTGTCTCAACACTCGTACTACTGCACACCGTGAACTGTCGCATGACCCAATCCTTCAACATAAATACTTAGTGGGCGAAGCAATATCTCAGTCCTCGCCGCCCTCGTTCGATGTTGCAAGATAAAAAAAAAAACACGCCAGGAACCGCACTACAAGGAAACAAACAACCACTACTGCTACAGCTGCAGACCATGTAACCCCGTCCTCACTACGTCGAGAAACACTCTCTCATGTCTGCCTGGCGCATCCATCAACTTCAGAATCTCAAGCTTCGTGTTGTTGTCCGGCCGCGCGCGAGAACCAGATCCCTTCTTTCTCCCCGCCTTTGTTTTCTTCGGGCGTGCGTTTAGATCGATATTCCCGCCCCAGCACCCTCAGCTGGTGTCGCTTTGCACTTGCCAGCCTTGGCGACGCACTTGCTGCAGATGCGGTGCTTTTCGTCGTCCTCAAACATGCTGCCGCAATTGCCGTGGAGTCGCCCGCCACACCCTCCCTTGCAGACGGGGCCATCAGGGGCTTGCGGCGTTCTGCTTGTTGATGGCGGCACAGTTCACCGTCCGCACAAGGCTTGTTGCGTCCCTGCGTGAGCTTTCGGGTCTGCAGCAGCACGTGTACCCTGGTTTCTGTGTTGCGTCTGTCCGCTGTCTTATCCGTGTGTGTGTTTTTTTACTAGCATCGACCTTGCTAACCGGCTGACCAATGAAAATACGCCAGTCAGTGCGATTGAAAAAATAAAACACTTCTAGACTAGTCAAAATGTCAGTAACTGGGACGCCATGAAGAGGCGGCTTGGGGGGGGCTAAGCTATTTCCGGATCAAAGACAGAAATGGTAGCTACAGCAGATTTGCGTACGTGTCGATGAGGGCTGCTACCTTGCACTCTAGCTCGTTTTGGATTGTCACCGCCATCCTCCTTCTTCCAACTCCATCGTTCTCACTATCGTTTGTGTGTGTGTCCAACCTGCACTATTGCGGGGCACCGCGGTGCCCAACCTGCACTACAGCGGGACTGCCCTCAATAGTGCAGGTTCTGCACAATTGAGGGCGCTGTCTGTGTCCAGAGATTTCACCTGCACTATACCGGGCACCTGCATTATTCAACCTGCACTATAGAGGGCCCAGTACTGTATATATATGCTATAATAGTGGGTACCCTCGCAGCCTGCTAAAGGCCAGGTCATGGGTTCGAGTCCNTGCAGGTTCTGCACAATTGAGGGCGCTGTCTGTGTCCAGAGATTTCACCTGCACTATACCGGGCACCTGCATTATTCAACCTGCACTATAGAGGGCCCAGTACTGTATATATATGCTATAATAGTGGGTACCCTCGCAGCCTGCTAAAGGCCAGGTCATGGGTTCGAGTCCCGGCAGAGTGAGTTTTTTCTTACTAAATAAATCCTGGTCTAGGATGAAAGCGACGCGCTGCAGAGTTCGTTGTTAGTAAACCATAATCGACTTCGCAAGTCGCGAGGGAAGGGATTGCTGTACCCTTCTCGCAATAAAAATATCTCAAGCAGGAACCGCAGGACGGGGTCCAACCCCCCCCCTCCTGTGTGACCCCGGTTGGGTCGTCTAGCTAGTAGAAGTGAAGGATAGGGGCCAGAGGGGCAGACGACAGAGTCCAATGACGGGAGACACAAAAAAAATAAATACATACTAAGTATATATATAATGTGAAATACCTGTTCGGCTGCATGAGCCAGTACAATAGGTTCTCCAGGGTATGACGCTACTTGTCGTGATTCCGAAAAACAGCAAGCAGCAGTACGGTGTATGCGCTGCCAGCTAGCGCGTTGTTCTGTCTTAATATCAGTGGTATTTGTTCAACGAGGCGCTGCCAGTGAGCACGTTTTTGGATATTAGTGCTCAGGCTGACAAGGGCAAAAGATGCGCAGACCTGAACAGTTCTGAATAGTGGATTGTTCACGTACGTCAAGAAAAAATCTCTATTTAACATTACAAAGCGGTTGAAGAGTTCCTCCGTTAGCGTTCTTTCGTTGGGTCGGTACTTCCTCTCTATCCCCACGTCCGCCGGGTGGGTGAGTGTAAGACAAAGGGCGGGCGCGTTAGACTCCCCTCCGCTCTGTTGTGAAGGACGACTACAATCTGACCGCATCTATCTCGCAACATGAACATGATTTGCACACGACTGACTAACTGCTGCTGTGATATATATTTCGAAAGTGGTACTTTATGTACATCTTTTCGTCACGGGAAGGAAGAAAACGGCAAAACGCTTATTTATGTGGTCTGTTGTTTGCTGATGATGTTAACGATGCTACAACGAAAGAAGGATCGCAGCATGAACAGCACTGCTGCGCTGTGGTGCTGTAGCGGGCCGCTCGGTATTTTGACTAACGCTTTCATTTGCTGACAAATACCTTCTAGACGAACTGCGCCATGCGAAAGACTATTCGCATGGCGCATAGTTTTGGTAGTAGAGTGTGCCGTTATGGAAATCGGTAGACAGACCTCACTTTACAGTACGAATTATATTTTGAGTCGGTTGGTTGATGTGCCTCCTCGCCTCTTCCGCAGTCCCTACTCTGTGCCTGCCGCGCGCGCGCCCTCGGGTTGTTCCTAAATACATGGAGGCTTTCGCGTTTTCAGTCGGTAGGGGACGCGCTTTTCCCTAAAGTTTCTTGTAAACTTCTGAAAAAAATAACCCGGGGGACCTACAAGCCTACAGTATATGACACAAGATAACACACCCCCTTGACCAATTTTCGAAGCTTGATTTCTCAACTGCAGGAACAGTCACAGCGCCGACAACGGCGGCGTTGAAACCGTCTTCTCGAGAGCTTTTCGAAAATGTAGCGTTTCGTTTATGCATCCTCTTCGTCGTGGAGTAATCGAGCTTTGAAAATCGGTCCAGGGGGTGTGTTATCTTGTGTCAAATACGGTAGGTGTGCTACCTGACTTGTGTTGGTGCAAATACTCAGACAGGAAACTTTTGTAATCGGAATTCGAGTAAATAACACATCGGGTTAACTTGTAACATAGTGAATAAGCGCTAATTTAGCCCCCGCATACACCGTACCAGTAGTGTTTTTATCCATCGGGCTAGTCAGTATCCTGAAGCTCTGGTGGTGTAGCCAGGAAGTTTCCTCTTTCCCGTCAACCATTACTTTCGGCCAAGTCGTCAGCACCCCTCAAGCAGTGCACACCGCAGAAAGGGGTCCAACCCCCCCCTCCTATGTGACTCCGGTTGGGTCGTCGAAGTGGAGGATAGGGGGGGGCCAGACGGGCAGACGACAGAGTCCAATGATGGAAGAAAAAAACAAATGTAAAACTCTTTTATTACGGCCAACTGCTGTTGCCAAACTTATGGGTTGGTACTACTGCTGTACGAAGGGTGTTGGTGGTGGGTTCTCGACTTTGGAGAGCGTGGTGGCAACGGAAGTCTAATCACTACATCGATAACGACAACACCCTGGAATGGTCTACGGTAGGCTACAGGTAAACAGACCATACCCCGAGCTGCTCGAGTCTCGAAATTATTCCATGTGATGGTCAATCCATGCGCATTTGGAATCGCGTCGGCACTCCGCGGGGAGCATGCCCTTCACCTCCGCCAGCCAGCCTACGCGACATGCACCAGCTCCTTTCTGTTGCAGGACTGCTACCAGCGGCAGGCGCAAGGTTGATCTATCTGCGTCGTCAGCATGTGCATTTCTGTTCCGGGCTATTATACAGCAGAGTAGTAGCACTATACTTGGGGTCAAAGCGCCACCGGAATATCTATGGTTGGTTTTCACCTGGCGCCCGAGACGAGCAGCCTACGCTGCGCAGGAGGAACTGAAGGGTCGGCCGAAAGTTCGCATCCCCGTGAAAGAGAGAGAGAGGAAGCAAGAGGGAGTTGATGAAGGAGCCAGCGGGCGAGGCTGAGGTTGGAAACGTGGTGAATGAGCTGCGGCGCTGGGGCAGCGGCGGACGGAATTACCTGTGCGAGATCGAGAGAACCAGGTGCCGGTTCGTATACCTTCTCGGGACAACGCGGCAGAAAACAAACAAGCAGTCTCACGTACCGGCAATGCCGTGCACACACTACGACACTCACGAGCGACTCACCTCCAGCTGGCAGCGGCTGGTGACAGGGCCACCTCTGCGGCTGTGTATTCTTCGGTTTGGAGGAACAAGCGGCCGGCCGGGAGTGAAAACCGGGGCCAGCACGTACTGGTTAGCCGAAAATAAATATTGATCGCCTGTTAGTGTGTCATGTGCAACAGTCCGGCGATTGATGTTGTGTGTGTGCTACCATCGTTAGCATCGAGCGCGCGCTGGACGGTCGATCAATGAAAAAAATGCATCACCAGCAGTGGGTGATTGTTGGTGTCGCCCGATGCATGTATGGATCTGTCCGTTGTTCAATCGTCTCTCGCAATAGGTTCTCCTACCGAAGGGGTGTTGCATCTCTAGCCTACCCGAAGGGATCCGCTCTCTGTGGAACCCCTCAGCAGTGCACGGTTCCCTGTTGAGAGAGAGAGAGGTTATGAAGTTTCTCACCCGTGATCGCGAGAAAGCGATTACTACTAGAGTTGTGAATCGGAACGATGTACACGATATATATCGTCCGATATATATCGATATCGGTATCGAAAATTCGTGCCGATGTTCCGACCGATGTTTTCTTAGGGGCTCCGTGAATCAAATTTAGGGTATGCGCAGCAGTACGGAGCCCCTGTACGCCACACACACACAGCACAGCAGCGCAGAAACAGCAGACAACAGCACCATGTCCAGAACCAACCGGGAAGTAGACACAGGGAGAGACCGAAGGAGGGTACTGCTGAGGATACGCGACAATACATCAATCTTAATCTTTTTTTTTTTTTTCTACATTCCGTGCGATGTTTGCAGCTGAAGTCAAGCCCTTTTTGATGCCGCATTTGGGCCCATTTTGACGGGAAATGAAAGGAAAATGCACCAAATTTTCTGCCTCCGGCGGCGCCTCCGGCGAGGCCCCCTCACCAGCCGGGGGGGGCCGATGGGGGGGCTCGCTTCGCTCGCCCCCATCACGGCTCGCTGCGCTCGCCCGATATTTTCTCCGATATATCGCCGTAGGCGATATATCGGAGAAAATATCGTTATATCGGCTGCTGCGCAGCCGATGTAAAATATATCGTTTTTTCGTACCGATTCACAACTCTAATTACTACAGTACTTCTTGTGCAAAACCTACGCGTATGATGAAATGTTCTCATGCTGTGTGTGGTGCTCTTCTCACGACCATGCTTCCCATCGCGGAGAATCTGCTTCTTGACTCTCTCTCCCATTCTCTTGTCGAGCCGCAACCTTTCAATCGTGGCTGGAAGAAAGCGGGGCCATACAAGAGTCCTAAAAATACGGCAGTGATAGCGGCAGAAAAATCGGCAGGACCGAGCAATATCAGTCGTACCTGCACAACAGTCTTACCTGCACAGAGCCCATGAAAAAAGTTAGAAACCACCCACAGTACGGGCCCGCAGATAAGAAACTCGGGTCGAGCCTCAATCCCTTATTTTGGGTCCGAGGACCAGCCGAAGTTGTCCGTTTTCTAACAAGGCATTGGTTATTCCTTTGGAACGTCGCATCTTCTCAATCCTCTTGTTTCTCACGCCGTATCGTTTCGTATTTAGCTAAATAATACTTCTACAACACAACAACCGGTAGCTCGGTGTGGCCATTGGTGTGGCGAAATGAACAGTATCTCTCCCCCCTCCCAAACAAATGCACTGTTCGGCTAGGTAGGGGGGTGGGAATACGGAAGGAGCAGCAGTGGGACGCTTCCTATTGGGCACGCTCCTCCAGCTCCCCCTTGTTTCTTATATCTTGGTGGTATCGCACCACCATGTTTCATATTGGGACGTTTCTTATGTTGTGGCCGAGATTGAGCTGTGTTTCTAGCCCTTTTTCTTTTTTTCCGTAAACGTTTGAGCCTATTGTTCTCAACAGAGTTTTTCTTAACTGCGGATCCGTACTGTACTCGAGTATTACGTTGTCACGGCCCCGTGCCTACTTTTTTACTCTCGTTGTGGTTGGGATTATTCTTGGTATTCCAGGGATACACCAGAAAAGGACCGCTTCACGAAAACCTGTGGTCCTTGATTGCGTGCCTGTGTTTGGGATTATTCTTGGTATTCCAGGGATACACCAGAAAAGGACCGCTTCACGAAAACCTGTGGTCCTTGATTGCGTGCCTGCTTTCAACTTTAGTTTTGTGCCTGCAACAAACGTGGTACGCGACGAAAAAATATCTTCTTATCCATGGAAAGCAGGTAGGTCGCCAGTGGCCGTGCATGAAACACGTCTGCAAGAAAGTCTCCCTTTGGCCGCCTCCAGGTACAGTCGCGGGCAAAAACGGAAGTCCAACACTTTCCGGTTCGGAAAGGAACAAGGCATACTCGCTTGGTCATTTTGCGCGGTGTTGGTGGCGTCCTCTGCTGGGCATCACGTTCTCACGTGCTCTCTTCCTTTCACCGTCGCCCGTCTTGTGCGGTTGTGGATGACTGAGCGGCAGTGCCGAGTCCAGCGGCAGCATCATCGTCATGAAAATTTCGGCACGAGCAGCAGTGGCTGCAGCAACAGCCTTGGTAACCTTCGCCGCGACGCCAGTGTCGACAGCGGCGTCGGCCGGATTTCCGTCGACGATCACCGAGGCAGCAGAAGATGAGCTGGGAGACCTACATCATGCCTCGTCCGAAGGCATGTCCACGCTCCGAGGCTTCGAAAGCCGCCAAGAACCATCGCACGAAGAGGACGTTGGCAACAGCGGTTCTACAGAGCGCATTATAGAACAGACAGATGGACCCCGGCCATTGAAGCACCGAGGTTTTGCCCAGCATCCCCAGAAGAGGCAGAGGAGGAAAAGGAACGTTCAAAGGCTGAATTTGGGGGTATCGGAACAAGGGGAAGTGGCAAGCGTTGGCTCGGAAATCAAGCGGGAAGAAGACGAGACAAGGGGTGTGACGGCGGTGGATCGTTTTCCTCCTCTGGAGGACAGCACCGTGATGTTTCTGCACGTTTTCAAATGCGCGGGTAGCACTTTGAGGTGCGTGCCTATGCTCCGGTGTCGGGAATCAAGTGGAATTGACACCATGCGCCGCTGGTCTAGCTTGATTCCGACGAGCGTGCTGGTGGTTATAGGGCAGTTGTTCGTTGCAAGTGATCGCGGTTGCGCACTGCAGGATTGGTCGGTTGCCGTCCCTCCAAAACAAGATTGTGATATGCAGCAGCTCGAGGTCCCAACCAAGCGAAGCTAGTTACCACAGGGTCGGCGTTGAAATAGGACGACATCAGCATATCGATACATGCCGTCGGGCCGACTTCCCTCTCATTCAAAAACGCCTGTTTCGATTCTCCTGCGCTCCAATGCTTTATCGTGAACAGGCAAATGTTTGTAGACTGGGCAAAGGCAGAGGGGGCGAGCGGGGCGATAGTCACCTCCTGCGATGAAGTTCAAAAGGTGGTATTTCTGAATTCGGGGTTTGTTGCTATTATCATTGTTGTTTTTTGTTTTTGTTGACTTCACAATAAAAACCATTCCGGCCTGTCCTCAGCACCTTCGATCACTCCTACCGGTCTAGCTGAGGAGGACGCCTTCCGTGGTCCCAAGCCAACTATCCAAAAATGAGAACTCACTTCAAACCTAAATTGACAGAATTGTTGTATATATTTTTGGGACAGCGTTGCACGCGACGTCGTACCACTCAAGTGCCCACGCATCCATCCTTGTCTCTACCAATGGTAGCCGAGCGCGAATCAGGCTCCAGTTCGCTCTCGCTTCTGGGAGACTCAACGACGTTGCGAGGACCTTGTGCACACCTAACGCTGCCCCTAAGTTACCTGAACGACACCATATGCCAACGAGAGCGTCTGCTCTCCCCCGTCATCGGCTTGCAACTACCGTGTTGCATAGGTTGCATAAGATACCACCCCCCCTGGACCGATTTTCAAAGCTCGATCACTCGACAAGGCAAGCGGTGACGGTGCAAACGTTGAAGCGTTGGAACCGTCTTGTCAAGATCTCCTAAAACCTATCATTCATCGCCGGTATCCTCTTCGTCGTGGAGGAACAGAGCGCTTTGAAAATCGGTCCAGGGGGTGTGGTATCTTGTGCAACCTACGGTACTCGTACGCGCACGGCGGTTACAGCAGGAAACACTAGTAGATAACGTAACACCATAAAGCTTGAAATAAGCGCTTTCAGTAGTGTTCCGCCGCTGACACTTCCGACGCGGGGGTCGTCCGCATGGCACTACACTTGTGCGGCGAAAAAAGGAAGGAGTCATATGCCTGGCTAAGCACGAGCTCATCAAGGAGTCCGTGCAGATGAAGATGCTGTTGAAACAAAAGATCTTGGCCGGCCACTTCATCTGGGGTGAGATGTTTGAAGGAGTGATGTTGCGTTGGGAGGGTCACCTCATCTTCCAGCACTGTCAGGCAGAGAGACGGTCTCTAGTTGGATCTGGTGGTTGCAAAATCTCTTGACACTCCACGTAGTGGTAGAGCGGATACCTGGGAGGCATCATGGAGGTCGTTGACAACCCCTCATGGCCGTGTCCTGTACCACAATAAACCTACCCGCTTTCTCGTTGGGAATCCCCAAGCGGGCCTAAAACAAGCCTACGACAGCGGATAGGCAGGCCCTCGTTTACATTCCCTTCATTCAGCGATTCAGCTCTCTTCCTCCATTTCCAACAACGGAAACGACAAACGCCTTGCTTGCAAGTTCAGTAGGCCCCTACCTGTCCAGAAACCTGTTGTTCAAAAGTTCTGGAATCGAGAGAGGTTTGGTGAGTTCTACGAACATGGTCGACCGACCAGGTGTAACGCCTGACCCCAAACGTTCCCCACCTGCATGCGTTTGCGTTGCTTGGAGGAGACGGGGTGGTACGGTGCAATGCCTCTTCAGCGGAAACATTTCTTCTCTACTTTTTCCCCAAGGATTTCAATAACGCGTGGTAGGCTAAGCTTTGTCGCTTTCTCTAGGTGCAGCCGTGTCTGATAATGACATCCCTGAGCTTAACTATTTCTTGTTTTCATTAGGTTTTCAGAGTCGCGTGGAGAGGCCATTTTTTATAGTAGCTTTCAATATTGTTTTTCATCCGGTTTTCAGCGTCTTGTGGTTGAGGCCGTTTCTGATGGTTGCGTCCGTCGTTTTTGCTTCCTCCAGGTTTCCAGCGTCTCGTGGAGAAGCCGTTTCTGATGGTCACTTCCTTAAGAAATCCGCTAGAGGCATTCGTGTCCGGACGACAGTTTCTGCACCCAGATATGACCGAGACCCTAGAACAGGCCAGTGCAGCCCATGTTCCACCCCATGCCACCCTCGTCGCTTGCTCCGTGTACATGACCCTAGTACAGGCGTTGTGCCCACACAACTTTCGTCGCTTGCTCTAGAATCGCGTGTACATGGTCCTCTTAGTGCACCCGTTGTGCCCACGCAATCCTCGTGGCTTCCTCTAGCGTCACATGTACATGCCCCTCTAGTGCAGCCGTTGTGCCCACGTAACTCTAGTCGCTTGCTCTAGCGTCGCGTGTACATGGCCCTCTAGTACAACCGTTGTGCCCACGCAGCTCCAGTCGCTTCCTCTAGCGTCGCGTGTACATAGCCCTCTAGTGCAGGCGTTGTGCCACGTACCTCTCGCCTCGTCTAGAATTGCGTGTTCATGACCCTGGTGAAGACGTTCTGCGACGTATATGCCCCTCACCTACTCGAGCGTCGCCGTTTGCCAGCGCGTACCTAATGAACCTCGAGTGGTGGTGACGGTGTACTCTGCAGACACCCAGGTTGCGACCAGTTTGAGCATCGGGAGCAAACCTCGCGCATGGCTAATCGCGTACAGCTCAGCACTCAAGAACGACCTGTCTTTCTCCTCCTACTCTCTCGGTATTCGGTTGGTGCCTGCAATTAAGAAACAAAAATTTTGTTAAAGAAACGAAGGCTTCGACCTTGGCCATAATTACGAAAAACAGACAAAGAATCACACCTCAGCCATGGATCCAACATTATACTCTATGCAAATGAAACACCTATGCTTGATGGTGGTGGCGAAATATGAAATATTGAGTTGAGCCTTGACCCCCACAACTTGCATTTCTTTGACGCGGGTGCTAATTGTATGTAGACCATGTCGTTTATAGCTCACGGTTCTCCGGTCGACGGGTGCACTGCGAACCGTCTGTGTACTCTCAGGCCCAGGCGTTTGTCTCATACGCCATGCTTAACGCGCTGGGAATCGACGGGCCTGGGCACGTCGCCATGCTTGGAGAGCGGGCCAGCCTCGGGCACGCGTTGCTACGAGGAAGGCGGCAGTCCCCAGACCAACTAGGAGGTAAACACACGTGTTTCCTCCCCATTGTTCAGAAAATACTAATGCAGCAGTACAAGAGAGACACCACGCTCGAGGTAACAACGCTCCAATTGAAGGGGATGTGATTAAGTGTTCAAGAAAGCAGTGAGTTGATGGAATTCGACTGGACCCTGGGCTCCTGCTGCCATTTTTCAAGGGATGCGGTAGATGATGTCGGGTATTTTGGATGGTTTCCCCCAATCGACGGCCGTGCGCGGCTCTACCCTGGGGCGCAAGGCTCCTGTGTCCGTTGTGGTCGGACCAATTTTCCTTTTCGTCGTGCCTGATTTTTGTTTTTTTTGCGGTTTGTCGAGGGCTGCTCTTTCGTCTCCTCTCGATTAGTGACAATGCCCAGGACCAACCAGGAGGCATGCATTGCTTCTCAAATTCTAGTGGTGTGCGGCAGATGTCCTTCGCGGGTCCTTTTGGAGCGTCCTGTGACGGCCGTGCTCGTCTTCCCCCTTGGGGAAAGGCCTCTGTTTCCGTTGGGTAGGTAGTCGGACCAACTTCCGCTCTCGTTGTGCCTTATTTTCGCGTTGTTTTCGCCGCGTGTGAGGGTTGCTTTTCTGTTTTCTCGTATCGAATTGTGATATAGCCCAGGACCAGCTAGGAGTTACACATTCGTGTGATGCATACAAAACGCAGCTTTGATTACAACAAAAAAACGGCCGACGCAACGATTTCGGGTGTTCATTCGAAATTCAGGTAACCAACAACTGCCGACGCAATCATATATCGGGTTGGCGTTTTGTGATGGCCACCCTTTTCCATGCATGCACCGAATATAGGTCGACATTTTCATTTCGAGGGTACTTGCTTATTTGTAGGCTTCACCTTTTCCATTCACTGCACCGAGAAATCGTGGACATCATCATTTCGGGCTTTGTTTTTTTTTTGTTCAGGTTTCATTTTTAGGCTCGTGGGGCAGGAAAACGCCAAGAAGCTCCACGGTTTGGCGTTGAGCCGAGCCGCAGACGAGGCCATGAAAAACCTGGAGGCGTTCTGGGTGGTAGGGGTGGTGGAGCAGTACGCGGGTCTCCAGGCGGTGCTGAAGCGCTTGCTCGACCCAGACCTGAAGCACCCGGCGCTCTGGGACAAGTACTCGTACCGGCACTCCAACCGGTGAGGGCTGTTGTCACTGGTACTGTAGCGTCTACGCTTTACGAGAGATTGTGAAGGTGAAAATCGGATTTGAGGCAGAGTGTTTTGACTTGTTCCAATCATGAGATATACATTAGACAATGTTTCACATTACGGCTTTTACGGGAAAATCGGATTTATAAGAGCGTTGTTGCCTTGTCCGAACCCCCTGTTGAACCGTAGCCGTAACTGCTGTGTCCGCTTCCATGGACTACAGAACGCGCCACCACTTCATAACCTCACATGGCGTCCCGACAACTGAATAAACACATTACCCACAACAATAGCAAAACAACACGATCGTCTATGCATGCGTAGCTGGCGGGCTGATTGTCTACTGATGCCCGAGGCTCGTGTCTTGCGCTCTCTGTGGGGTGTACTCGACCACGGTTTTGTCGTGGGTGATCGTTGCGAGACTCTCGACTGAACAACCTGTTGTAACGGTCAAGTCTGAAAGATCCCATCACCGTTACCGTTAACTCTTGACCGAGCGCCTGCTGTAACGGTCAAGTTTTGTTGCGATTCGATCACTTTGAGCTGGAGGGTCTTAACCCCCAACTTCTTTTGTGGTGGTATGTTCTGCAGAGGCACGGAAGTCTGACCGGTGGCTTCTAGGATTTCAGACCGTCGGAAGTGCACAGCAGTTTCTGATCCGGTTGGACCTTTGGGGTTGTTGATTAGCTTTGTGCGTCGGTGCCTTGGCGCGCGGGATCCCTTGGTTGGGAAATAAAAGAGCCAGCGGCGCGGTAGCCGCCAACGGTACAGTGTAGGACTTATGATGGGCGTGACACCCTTCTACTTTGGGATGGAGCGTGATAGCTCGGGTACGGTATCTCTGAATGTGGTGTGGAAGCCTGGTGACGTGATAGTCGTGGTGTATATGTATAAGGACGTGGGTGTCCGGAAGGCGTGATAGCCGGGTGGCGTGATAGCCAGGATTGGCGTGAAAGCCGTGGCGTGATGGCCGTGGTAGCGTGGCAGCAGGGGAAAATGACTTGATTGCACACAGGAAGGAGGACAAAGAGGAAAAAAAAACAAGTGAGAAACCGTAGCACACAATAGTCACCATATCCGTTGTAGACACACACATACTCCCACCCTCAATCCTGTAATATACGGCAAAGTTGGTACCATCAAATCGAATCCAACGCAACTACTGAACCCCCAAACTCCCCGCTCCACCTGCTGGGAAATTTCTTGCTTGCAATAATCTGTCGATGCTGTGAGTACGTCTAACAGGGGTGATCTCCGATTTCCTTTGCCTCTGTAAGTCGTGGCACGACAGCCCTACGGTACCGGAGTGAGTCGATGCTTCATCCATCGACGTGTCTATGTTCGGGTGGCTTCGGCAGCAGTGGCATCCATCCGGTGCTGTTGCCAACAATGCCCTAACTCGTCAACCCTTGAGTGCGGCAACAAGGACGCTTTCGCAACTGTAGTAAAACAAATCAATGCATTCCGTTACTGCGCGCGTACTCAAGAATGTCGGTCGCTTCGTGTGTACTCAAGAATGATCAGCATAGCCATATTGCATATTTCTCTGTGGTACGAACCGGAACGCTATGCGTCATCCATCAGGTCTCCCGTCGACTCCCGGTACGTTCTGGCTGCTATCGACCCGAGCCTTGTGCGCCAATTCAACGACTCTCTGGCGCTCCAGTGGAAGGTGTACGAGAAGGCCGTTGAGCTCTGGGGCACTCGCTGTCGGGAGGTTCTGCCGATCACCGTGCATGACGCGATGTGCACCGTGGCGCCCCCCGACTCCCGGTACAGCTGAACGTTCTTCAGCAAGCAGACTTTGAAGCAAACGGGTGTGTAACGTGAGCGCGACACGTCAATGCTGTAGCAGTATTTGGAAGTTCGTGTAATTTTGTGATCGAAATAGTGTGCTGTCGCGGAACGTTCCATCCATGCATTTCTCGGCGGAACGTTGTGGTTGTCGAGAGGTTGGAAAATCGGTAAGACTTATCGTGGAAGGTCGTACATAAAGTGATCTTAATGTCTTTCTCGGCGTTCAGACAAGCTGTTGTGGTTGATGTTGTTCTCGTTGCCGTGTCACCGCTGCCGCAGTGGCCGCTGTCATAACAGCAACACCGTGATACTGCCGCAGAATATTTTCGGAAAGACAACCTTCTTTGGTGTGTAGATTGATGGACTATGTGGATGGTCGTGGCTCTAGTGTTTTGTTGTGCTTCGTACAAGTATGCTTGCGTACAATGGAGTAAATAGTAGTTGTATTTGATGGTCAACGTGAAGATATCCTGTGCGTAGGAGGAGCGCCGTTGTGACGGTTACAGGAACGTTTCTGGCGAACATAGCGGATGTATGTGTCGGTGCCATCCTTGCCGTTGTTTTGCAAATAAATATGAAAAACAAAGAGGAAGAAAATCATGCAGGGCGGCTGAACAGGTTCGATTTATTTGCGTCTCGTCCGACTTCCAAAGCGGGTGCACCCCATGGGGCTTGTGAGAGCGAGCGAGTCGGGATCGCTGAGCGTGTGTCCTGTCGCCAATAGTTCACTCCCGCTTGTTGACCGCAAATCTTCTTGTTGAGAACCCTCAAACCTCGAGAAGAACATTTTCAGTTTATCCACTCTCTTTCCTACTCTGGAAGAGCTTTCAACGGTCACAAGCCAACTCTCCTAACCGACAGTAAAAAAGCATCGGACTATAACAAAGCCCCAACACAACACAGCCGTCCAATCTACTAGATTCGAGGCCAGCTCTTGATCTGGAATTTTAATCCATCTTGTGGGCTCTAGCGAGACTGTCATTAACGATCCTCAGAACGATGGCCTAACTAAAAATCTCTTTCCCATGATTTTTGTTGAGTTCGAATGTCCACGCTACCTAAGAAAATACTACTAGAGGGCCAGCATGGTTGCCCGAGGCAAGCTGCGATACAAATGAAAAAGAATCGGACCATACCAAATCCCCGAAATAATGCTGTGGCGGAGAAATCCAAGTCCTAGTGGGCTGAAAGCGACTCAACAAACCTCGATGTAGGGCCAACAAAGGCCCCGAGAATTCCGAACGTAGAGCGTACTGTTCTACGTAATACAAACTTGGACGGCAACTTTCTAACCAAAGTGCACTTAGGAGTATCACTACCAACAATAATTTTAGCAAAGATATCTGCGCAACCCCAGGTACATATGCCAGGCTGTTTTCGTCGACCAGGCCCTGGAAGTCCGTGAAAAAAGGGATTAACGACTATTTCACGCAACAATTAAACCATGCCAGAATACTCTTAGCACACTCCGACCATGGCAGAATATCGACGTGCCCCGTACAGGGCTCCTCTCTACGCTAGCTGCCCTACGGGGGCGATATCCTTCGAGAACAGTCTACCACCAGCAAACGCCAGCACCACCGTACCCCTACGATTCGGCTTGCCCATCCCCATGCTTTGCTTATGCTGGGCGCCGAACGGAACATGGGACAATACTCCGGGATACGGTAGCATACCGCATGCCGTGGGGAACGTCAAGACCGACGCTCCAGATGAGGCTCCACCAACACAACAACAGATGAAAATCGAACCAATTGCCACCACCCCGCGTTGCCGGCAACTTCAAACCCCACCATTCCCACCAACCCAAAGCACCCCCGCCGACACGGTTCCCAGGAGATCGAAGGCACGAGATTTCAACTTTTTTTGTTTTTAAGAAGCCCCGGTGCGAATCAACGCCGACTCCCGATCGGGCCAAAATGCACACGGTCTTTACCCTTCGGGTTCATTTTTTTTCGCACGCCTTTGTTGAGTACGTTAGCCTGTGACCACGGGAATCGACCAAGTGTTTGACTATCAGTGCGGACAGAACAAGGTACTGGGCAGAGAGAACGGAACGTTTTTCTTGATGTGAAGACAACAACAAGAAGAATAGAACAACAACAACAAAAACAACAACAGCAACAAAAACAGCAACAGCAACAGCAACAGCAACAACAATAACAACAGCAACAACAATAACAACAGCAACAACAACAACAACAACAACAACAACAACAACAACAACAACAACAACAACAACAACAACAACAACAACAACAACAACAACAAAAACACTGTTGCTTTTCAAAATTCCCGCCACAAATGATTCCATTCCCCGATTAGAACAACAGCGTCCACCTGCTGGTGACTTCACCAGGCTCACGCGGGCACGAGAAAATGTATCCGATTTCACACTTTCTTATCAAAGGCCGATAAAAGCGTGGACGCTTGTCAACCGGTGGGCGCCTACATAGAAGACGCCGCCGTTATATACACGACAACTCACGAAATTTACAAATGGCGGAATTCACAAACAACGAGATTAACAACTCGCCAAATATACATATCGAGGCCGTCGCACCCCCAAAAACCGAGCCAGGTTCTGCTGATTTCCGACCGCCTTTGGAGCGAATTCGAAGTCGAGGTCGTTTGACGTCCCACGAGTACGACCACCCCTGGGTGCTGCTACCATCACCAACAAATACGAAACACGTACATATCAAGCGTGCGAACCTGAAACGGCTTCATTCACCATAAAATTTTGAAACACCGATGACTCGCCTACGCACCTGGAACTAACACTATTAACACTACATGCAGTAGAGCTACCCTTGGGAAAGGCAAACGCGGAAGGAGGTACGGACACGTTCCCCGCTACGATAAATAATTACTTGGGAGCCCTAGGTGGCAGGAGTTGGGGGGGAGGGGTTGATCAGTCACTTCGTGTTCAAAGCGCTTTCCTCTTCAAGAAACGTCCGCTCGCCGAATGGGTCTTCACAAAAATCTAGACTTCGAATCCCCCCCCCCCCCCCCCCCCCCCCCCCCCCCCCCCCCCCNGCTTCGTCCCCGGCTTTGTAGGGATGCTCGGTCAATGGTCTAACGACATCGACATACATGGCCAAGCGTAACCCCCCCCCCCGCCCGTCAGTCGAGGGCCCCACCCCATTCCATCCCCGTGCTCTGTTCGGGAAGCGGAAGATATCACACCCCCTTCACCTTTTCTCGGCGCTCCCATACAGGAGTTGTGGTGGTGCCGAAAAATGTCGGCTTTCGAACCGTCTCGTCGCGAGCTTTCCGAAAGCATATCATCGCTTCATGTATGCATCCTCGTCGTCGCAAGGCGACCGAAGAGCCTTTGGCAAATCGACCCAGGGCACGGGGGTGACATCTTCTACCACCTACGGCGCAGAGCGTCCACCGCCCTATGACGACCAGGGGTGGGGCACCGTACACATGTCCTCGTGCAGCCTATCCGGCAGCACTTCTCGGCAGCGGACCTCCCAGAGGCCAACGGCTCTCTCGTACACGTCCCACTGCAACGCGAGAGAGCCGTTGAAGTACCGCACGAGCTCCGGGTCTATCAACGCCAAAACCTCTCGAGAACCCACCGGAGACCTGGGAGGGGATGATATTGTGCGTGGATTATCGGTGCTGCGAGGAGGGAGCAGCGGGATGCACAGAATGCGCCCGAGCACGTAGTTTCGAAACCATTTTGTTGCGCAAGGTTTGTTTCCTTTTGTGTGGGAAATATGCCAACATCGGCTACGTAGATTTCAGCGTAGAATCCTCGACTGACCACCAGATCTGACGGTCAAGCTCGTGAGTTGTTGGGGATAGTTTTCTTAACTGCAATTTTGCTGCTGACCTGATAGGAAATACACATGCCATCGAATACAAGTGTAGAGATCCCTGTTTAGTGCCGGTGCCCGGTAAAGTGCCGGTGTTTTCGGCGGGTACAAAAATATCTTAGGCACGAACCGCAGGAGGGAGTCCAACCCCCCCGTCCTATGTGACCCCGGTTGGGTCGTCTGCCTCGTAGAAGTGGAGGATAGGGGCCAGAGGGGCAGACGACAGTGTCCAATGATGGGAGACAAAAAAAAAGCTCTGAATTTCCAAAATGATTGTCGGTACTGTGAGAAGTGCCGGTCCGGTGTAGCGCCAATCCATTACCTGGGCACACACCGGCACTATACAGGGACCTCTACTGCAATGTGATTGTCCCAACGGTCCCCACATTTCAAACATAGATTGGTACGCAATAGTAGCGTGTAGCGTACTGCAGAGTCTGTGGGACAAAAAGAATTATGTATACCATGGTGCCACCCTCCACCGGCCGGGGGAATACACGTCGAGGGAAGAGAATTGCGCCGAAGGAGCTTGGCCCCAGTCTTTTGCGGTTGTGGCTTGTGCCGCATGCATAGCAACACCAACCGCGCAAGCGCCACCTACAATGACACAGGCCGTTCAGTTGGGGGTGGGCGGTCGGGAGGGAGAGAGACCAGCAGCCTTCGCGAGATATGGTATATTTTATCTTGATTTTAGTATAGGTTACAGTGTGGGGTTCGGGGTTAGGGTTGGGGATAGGGATACGACCCCCCCCACCCACAGAATTAAAACATAGTCCTCGCGTAGAATGTCCAGAGAGAGAGGCAACACAGCCGTGACAACCTTCACGGACGAACAATTGTCAAACTATCCCCACATAACAACAACGATCATACTCACGAATTAAATTGCATCGCCGCGTACTTATTCCAGAGGCGGCCGTGCTTATTTTCGGGGTCGAGGGAACGCCTCCAGACCTCCAGGAGACCCGTGTACTGTTCTACCACGCCCACGATCCAGAAACGTTCCAGATTTTTCAAGGCTTGTGCCGTGGCTGCCTCCAGGGCCTCGTCCCCGGGAATGGCGTTTCTGTCTGCCCCCACAAGCCTTCGGATGTAACCTGTGTTGAGTGCGCGCGTGCCGGCGCACCAATCAATAACCGCTCGGTCGCACTCGTTTCATGGACAAAAGAATTGCGGGCTCTGCCATGTGAATACTCCAGCTCCAAGTCAACGTCCTTCGCATTACGCTTCAACATTGGCCGTTATGTACGAAGGACGTTGGCTTCGACTCCCTTTTCGGCCTTTTGTCCGTCCTGCTAGCCGAAATCCCCGGAAACAGAAAACAGTTACTCATCTCCCAGCCCACACTTTAAAGTAGGAACGATGCACAGCCCACATCGTGGATGTTCCGAGAGAGAATAGGCTGTCAAGTTTTCTCAATGACAACACACATCGCCGCAATTTTCCGCCGGACCAGTTTGTCTAGAGGACAACAATAACGAGTACAAAACGTTTCGATTTCTCGATGTGCGGGTAAACGGAGGATGATATCAAGGACGTGCCGAGAGAGAATCGGTTGTCAAGTTCTCTCAAAGCAAGCAGCTGCCTCATTACAGCACCGGTCGCACACGTTTCGCGGACAACAAAACCGAGTCAAAAAAGTTCCGAGATCTCGATGTGCGAAAAATACGGACGATGATCCCGTGGACTAGAGAGAGGGAGAGAGGGAGAGAGAGAGAGAGAGAGAGAGAGAGAGAGAGAGAGANNNGAGAGAGAGAGAGAGAGAGAGAGAGAGAGAGAGAGAGAGAGAGAGAGAGAGAGAACGGATTGCCAATTCCTCTCGAATTAGTCGTCACACCGCGCTGACCTCCGATCTGTTCGTGCGGTCGGGAGTCGGCGGTGTCGTCATGTCTGGCGCCCATTGTAGTTTCCTTTTGTTGTCGGTGGATCTTCCGAAGATTTTTGCGCATGACGCCAGCGACAAAATCTCTCGCCTGTCGGCATTCGAAAGAGAGAGAGAGACGTTGAGAGACAGACGAACAGACAGACAGACAGACAGACAGACAGACAGACAGACAGACAGACCGACAGACAGACCGACAGACCGACAGACAGACAGACCGAAAACAGACAGACAGACAGACAGACGGACGGACAGGCAGAGCCAAAATCATCACACGGGTCAGTAGCCTCGCGCGCTGCCGATGTTGCGTAAGCAGCCTCCATCCCACGAGGACTTTCGGCATAGCTCACCTAAGCGGCACTTCGTGGTCTGGGGACCACACCAACAAGGTTGTCTCTGAGACGACACTAAAATATCCGGGTACATGCACACCTCATGAATATCACCCCCCCACTAAGTCCCCCCCGGTGTTTACCATCGGGGTTGGGTTTTCGTCGCTTGGCAACGACGTTGTAAAACGAGTCCCCCCATCCCCCCCCGATGTTTGCCATTTTGGTTGTTTTTTTTCGATTGACAATGACGTTGTAAAACAAGCCGCCCCCCCGTCCCCCCACAATCTAAACTTGAGTGGGTTGGCGCTGTTGGCAAAGAGCTGTAAAACACGCCACCCCAAATATAGCCCCCATAGTATGCGCTACCAAAGACGCGTGACGCATGGATGCGTGGAGTGAGGATTGCTTACGGAAACCTCACAGGTTGAGTGATGTAGGAGATTGCCGGACACATAGACGTGTTGAGTGATTATAGCTGTATACTGAAACCCCAAGGGTTGAGTGAGGGGTGAGATTGCCAGACACATGGACGGGTTGAGTGGTGTTGGAGTGCCGGACACTATTGAACCTCACAGGTGATTTATGTTGGAGATTGCGAGACACCTAGACATGTTGAGTGAGGATAGCTGCATACTGAAACCTCACAGATGCATTGGTTTTTTATTCTGCCAGACAGATAGACGCGTTGAGTGGGGATAGCTGCATACTGAAACCTCACAGATGCATTGGTTTTTGAGTTTGCCAGACAGATAGACGCGTTGAGTGGGGATAGCTGCATACTGAAACCTCACAGATGCATTGGTTTTTGAGTTTGCCAGACACATAGACGCGCTGCGTGGGGATAGCTACATACTGAAACCTCACGAGTTGAGTGATGTTGGATAGTGCCGGACATATGGACGCTTTGAGTGAGGAAAGACACATAGTGAAACCTAACGGGTTGAGTGACGTTTGCGACTGCCGGACACATAGACGTGTTGAGTGAGGATAGCTGCAGACTGAAAACTCACAGATGGATTGGTTTTTGAGTTTGCCAGACATACAGACGCGCTGCGTCGGGATAGCTACATACTGGAACCTCACGAGTTGAGTGATGTTGGATAGTGCCGGACACACAGACGCTTTGAGTGAGGAACGACACATACTGAAACCTAACGGGTTGGGTGACGTTTGCGACTGCCGGACACATAGACGCATTGAGTGACGAAAGCTGCATACTGAAACCTCACAGATGGATTGGTTTTTGAGTTTGCCAGACATACAGACGCGCTGCGTCGGGATAGCTACATACTGGAACCTCACGAGTTGAGTGATGTTGGATAGTGCCGGACACACAGACGCTTTGAGTGAGGAACGACACATACTGAAACCTAACGGGTTGGGTGACGTTTGCGACTGCCGGACACATAGACGCATTGAGTGACGAAAGCTGCATACTGAAACCTCACAGGTTGATTTGTATTGGAGATTGCCGGACAC